CCCCAAAACCCCAAAACCCCAAAACCCCAAAACCCCAAAACCCCAAAACCCCTGGCAATGGTTAAATTATTGAATTAATATACTATATAATTTTTACAAAAATTGTGTGTAATGGAGAACTTAATAATCACTGAAGACAAGAGTCAATTCCCTGAGATGTTTACCAACAACCCTGCAAATCTCATAGTAAGCAATAGTCAGGCAACTCTCATACTTCCTTGCTTCCAGAAGAAGGTGTTTGCAGGAGTAACTGTACATGACAGCATTTTGTTGGGCGAGAAGAAGACAGTCACCCAAATTTATTCAGTTCTAAAAGATAATGGAAAGCTTAAAGTGATCACTGCTAGTAACTCCTACCCAGCCTCGATGGTTAGCTTTATCAAAATGACTGGATTCACTGATGTCCAGGAAGAAAAGGACTTTGTCGCTGCAACTAAGCCTACCTGGAGCTCAACTGGAGGATCTTTAAAAGAAAGAAGAGAAAAGAAAGCTGATGATAAATCCAACCCATGGGCAGGAAAATCAACTAATGAAGTAGATATGGTCGATGAAGATGATTTATTAAAAGAGGAAGAGAAAGAAGGAGCCCCAGCTAAGACCTTCGCAAAGGAATCAGACTGTATTACTAAGCCTAAGGCATGTGAGAACTGCAATTGTGGAAGAAAAGAAATAGAGGAGAATGAAAAGATGAGTGAAGAAAAGAAAGCAGCTCTTGAAAGTGGAAATATTAAATCAAACTGTGGAAAATGCTACCTAGGAGATGCCTTTAGATGTGCTACATGCCCATACCTAGGCCAACCAGCCTTTGAAGCAGGAGATAAGGTGAAGCTCAAAGTTTCAGATCAAACAGCGGTTAAAGAAGAAACTGAAACGACTGGTACAAAACTGCAAGGAACAAAAGTAGTGTTGGAATTGTAATCTTCTCCTAATATTTATCTCCAAATTTAAGAAGATTTCCAGAATCAGTTCAATCTTATGCGTATTTTTTGGGGTTTTGGGGTTTTGGGGTTTTGGGGTTTTGGGG